CCCTTTCATTATTTATTGAAAGTCAAACTGTGTTTCCCTTCTTCCACACACCAAATTACATCTGCCACCTGATTTTCTCCTCTCTCTTACCTCTTAATCATTTCCTCAGAATCAGATAATTCACCAGTGTGAAAGGACATTCAGGTAGTGTGGAAAAACTAACTGCTAGGTCTATGAGCAGAAGCGATCACACCAGTGTAAATTCAGATCAATTCAGTCATGCCATTATGAATGCACACTAGTTTAAAGAATCACCATGGGGATCATTTATCTTACTAAAGTGATTATGTCTCACTCAAGATTCGTGTGAGCTGTGGGCAGATTCCTAAGCCTGCAGGTAGCAGTTTGGCCCCAGGTGATCATCCAGCAAAGGAAATTTGCAGGCAGGACTAAAGGTTGTCCACGGTGTCATACCTTAACGTAATATTTCAAAGTATGTAGGATTAAAGTTGTTTACAAACATGCATTACAGGTTACAGAAAGGAAACAGACCAATTTGTTTGGAAACTGTCATTTAGGTGTAAATCCTAGTGTGCTGAACACAGTTTTATGCCAGAAAACTTAGCAGCATTTCCATTCATTCCCCTGGTTAAAATGAGCACAAAACTACACACTGACTGCAAGTGCAAAATCAGAAGCATGTTAACCACCGTTATCAGTTTTATCTTTACTGTATTTCCTTGCCATTAAAGAGACTTTTCTATGTCATTAAAGAGACTTGCCTTCACAAAGGCTTATAAATATTCTTAAAGTCTGTGTCCAGACCAAATATACTTTTAGGGATGTTTATGTTAGTATTTAACACCTCACTTGAAAATATTTTAAATTAAGGAGGCACAATGTACTGTTTTGGCACAGTTGTAAAACGAAATGATGACAAGACTCATTTGATATCTTACTGCATACAAAGTGACACATCTTTTTAAGGCTCAGGATCCATGACTCCAGAACCACCACTAAAGCTACTGTCATTGCTTCTTAAAACACAGAAGTCTTGCACGCAACCTTCTTTCTTTTCAGCACATTTGCTGTCACACCAGCATCGATTTCCCGATGAGCTTGAAGAAGCATCTGTCTTTGCAGAACTTCAGCTTACAATCCTATAATTAACTTGTTCAGAGGCTGGGTGTTTAGCAGTAACAGCTCTTTACGCTAGAGAGGAAGGGGATCTAATTTCCAAGAATAACTGTTATCTCAGTTTTCTTTATTATATTCCCGCTTTAGAAAAATCCATGATTTCTCTTCTACATAACCTCGTTAACTTTTACAGATCACTGTACACTGCATACTGCAAGCTATACTGTTTGGCTACGGTATTCACCGTGAAGCAACAGATGAGGAGCTCAGCATGTCTGTAATTCTAAAGTTTCTAAACTCTAAAATTTCTCAGTGATGTCCTGCCTACACATGGGAAAAGAACCCAGAATATCTGTACCACACCAATATCTGAACAAATATTCCTTTGAGTCATGAATGACTGCCATATGCAGGGATGAATCATGTGAAAGGTTTGCAGTGTCCCTTGAATTCTGAAGACCTTCACAGAAAAGAAACTGCTATCCAGCTGTACGACCCAAAACACACAGACTGTTTCCCCCAGAAGTGGTTCCTTCCCTGAGGAGATGTTACTGTAACTTACATCTTTTGGGGAGACTGGAAATTGAGTTCAGATTCTTGTGCCCGTTACTGACTTCCATGGGTCACCTATATCAGAGACATCAAGCTTTAGCCCTAACTGGGAAAGTGGAAAGAGGTCTGGGAAAGAAAAAAATATGCAAATCTAGGCTCCTTTACTCCCCTAGTATAATTGCTGTGTAGGAAACATTCCACAACCCTGTGTAGAGATGTAACTTTAAAAGCTTTCACTCCTTTGACCTTTGTTACTGAAAGTTACTTAGAGTTGTAAAGTATGTATTCTAAGGTGAGCTTTTACAGATGAATTAAGCAGCAACTTGTGACAAAGCAGTTATCATCAGGAGATAATTGACCTTATTTGAGAGTTAAGCATCCTGAGGCAAAGTAGAATGTGCTTAATCCTGGCAGGTTAATTATCCAGTGATTATGGTAGCTTGGAAGGTATTATTGCTAAGAACCGTTTGCAAAATGACACTATTAAAAAACCCTTAATTTAATAAAAATTAAAAGCAATGACAATAATCAAGTTCTCCAGTCATGTATTACTAGATAATGACTGCAGAATGGCCCTAATTGGTTAGCAGCAATGAACATATAATTATTCCTATTCTGAATGTTCTGTAGTAAATTTATTATATGAACTACAGTTAATAAGTATCAAAAATTGAGATGTTTGACTAGTTATAAAAGGGACTCAAACAAATGCTCAAAATACCAGTGGTCACTGAGCTAATACTGAAACTGATACATGTACTGAGCTGTTATCACAGCATTCATTGTCTCCACTGTAGTTAAGGGTACGCTGGCATTTACATTCTAACCAGAATATTTATTGCAAGAGGTTTATAACTTGCCCATTTTAATTACCATCTGGCTGAAACTTGAAATAACCAATCTCCATTCATATGTAAATTTTTAAGTAGAAGATGTAATTTAAAATCACTTTGACAATTGTTTTTAGTTTAGAAATGTCAGCAATTTGGAATTTTGCTGCTCTTGGATGTTTTTATATTACTCAAAAAACAAACATTTCAGTGCTTAACAATAAAATTGTATTGGTCTATAATGTGGAGTGAAGACAAATATAGGGAAGAATAAAAATTGTGTCTGAGAGTATTGTCTGTACTAATAAAGTAACAACCACACCACTTAGTATGCCTTGCTTATATGTTAACTTATACACTTTCAGTATTTAACTCAATTAGCAAAACTGATGGAAAATGTAGCAAAAAGGAAAAGGAAATCACAGTAAATGGCAAAAATTTGGTGTTGGCTAGCTGAAGTGGTTCTCTGTCTATCAAGGCATAAACAAAAAAATCCTGAATGTCCCTTTAGATGAAATGAATATATATACATATATAAACCAAAAACAAAAACCAAAGGAAGCTACCAGAAAGTGGAATATGTCAGAATGAGCTTCTCTTGAGTTTTGCAACTACTCTTTACCACAAACCATATGCAGACAGCAGAAATACTGACAATTACAAGATACAGCAGAAATACTGACAATTACAAGATACAGCAGCTACTAAAAACTTGAAGTACACCATGCCAAGAGTGTGGTTTCAAGTCACACAGAAAGGCAAGAGAATAAACCACTGCAAATAGTATTTTAACAACTCAAGAGCAGCAACGGCCAGCTCATATAGCAGAAACAGAGACTAAAAAATAACCAGAGTTTCAACTCTGTGTATGTGTGTGTGTGTGTGTGTAAATAAATACATAAATAAATAAACAAACAAACAAATAAATAGTTTAAGGATGATCACTTCAGTTCAAATAGTATCTTTTACCCGGAAAGGCACCAACATGCTTCAGAAATTATACACAGAAAATGCAGGGAGTCTTTCAATTTTAATACAGACAACAGTCCTCTGCAATGTTTTCTGACAGCAGGTGAAAAATAATACCATAGCAAACTGAAATTAAGGTAGTCTGAATATAATTTCTAAAATTGTAATGTCACCAGCATAGTGGACTATTGCTTATAAAGTGTGCAAATATACAAAAAGTAACAACCTATGTTTTATCTTCTGAAAAACAGCACCTAAGGAACCACTGTGATCTGAATTCTCCTAACAGGTCAACAGGGCAATATTTATACAAAAGACCAGCAAGGTCTAATCCCAGAAGTTTCTATGAAGCCTTTCCACCCATTGATGAGACTTGGTACTACTTAATTTGTGAAATCTGACAAGATTTTTTTGTTAAGATTATACTGCTATTAAATCAAAATACTCAGCAGCATCTTTGGGAGGACTGTATTGTGAAAGACAGAACAAAGGTAACAGTTGTCAATAGCAGCAAAATGCCTGGAAAATACTTCTTCTGTATCGTTAACTGCAGTTAAAAAGGTTCTCCTTATCCTACTGCATCTAAAACTATTGCAATTTTCTTCATCTTAAAAAATACTTTTTAAAAAAAATTTCTGTATCTGTAACAATGCTAGCCCCTAATGTGGACACATGGACAACAGTGTAAAAACTGACTTGTGTTGGCACAACTCCCTCTTTCACAATTAGGAATAACCACTGACAGGAATAAGTCGCTTTTCCATAATTTTCACGTACTAATGTAGCTATCTTGAGAGACAAGCCCACACTTTATCTAGGTGTGTCACACTTTCCAACGCTTTTTCTAACCTTTTTCTGCTGAGCAAACTAATAAATATTTAAGAGCACTTTCTGAAGTAGAAAAAAATTAAAGTGACAGCACTACGATGAATCAAATCTGAATTCATTTGCTCTATTACCGTGGACTTCCAGGCAGAATTTCATGCAATCTGATTGCCAACTGTTGCATAGCAAAGATAAGCCCTCCTTAGATGGACTGCCAGTCCATTTGCCATAAAACCAACGAGAACCTTCTAAACCAACTAACCATTTCTTAGTGTTCTCCTCCCACTTCTCCCAAATTAGTCTTCTTCATCACAGAAAATGCTATTAATAGCAGCAGTATAGGTATGGAAACAAGTTACAGAACCTCAGCAGTTCTGCATTTGTAGCCCTTCATATGGTTTCTTCCAGCAGAGAGTTAACTTCTGGGCGATAAGTTAACAGTCTATCATGCACATGGACAGTTATTACAAAGGAGCCAATGTGTTAGAGATTTCCTCTTCTAGCCTAGAGTAAATTGTTCACGTGTCTCTACACTAGAATGAGCAAGTTGTAAACCTCTGAGAGGTCCAGTGACATCTTTGGCATCTACTGAAATATCACAGTCCTGTAACAGTGGATTTAATTCTCTAGTGTCACTTCACACAGTCAGTGTCTCTCTACAAATAATGGAGAGCCAGGAAGCAGCCTCCTAGACACAAACAGCTAGGCAAGAGATACAAATACTTCAATTACTTTTGTAAAACTCACCGTCTCATTTCCAAAAAGGACGTCGACATACGGCATAACTTTCATCATAGGCTCTTTGTAGAACTGGCTAATAAATGGTGCAGAAAGATTCAAGCTGAAGATCTTGTTGTTTGCAGAAGCCTGAGTCGCCACTTTTAATACTGCTTCCGGTGAAACGGTCAGGAAGAATCCCTGCAAGCATCCAAACAAATCAATGTGTGTTACTAATTTCATATTGGAAACCACATGAAGTATGCTGCTTCTAGGTCTCCCCCAACCCACCTTTGTCATACACATGCACAGATAAAAACTTCTGGAAAATGTTGCCTTTCCATTAAGGTATTATGGAGGTGACAAAGAATCTGCATATGCCTAGAATTGCATATGCCTCCAAAATTAACCATAACTCCCTACCTCTGCATTCCATGTAGTACACTTTCCCATGGCAGCTAAGACTAATGTTTTTATTTTAAAATGTGATACAATTCTAAATGCCCCTTTTTAGTAATAGAGTCTGTGCTGCTTAATTCCAAAGTCCAGTAGAACTCCTCTATACACAACTAGGAGATTAATTAAATCCCCTGCCTGAAAAATTATTACATTGTTTATAATAAATATGTTGAGCATGCTGTCTTTGTAGTAGTTATTGTTTTGCAGGAAAAACCTAGGGGTTCTCATGTTTCTGCAGATGTATTTTATCCCCCTCCCCTAAGTATTCGTCTTTATTCTGAATACGAACATTCAAGTATCAATTGTGAAATAAAATAAGCATAACTCAACAAGAAATTACTATCTGTGTACTAAATTGTGAATGCTGATTTTAACCCTGTATGAAGAATAGTTCAAGGCTGCCATTATGGAGTTAGCATTGCAGATGGTTACCTCAACCGCACGTGTTCCAGGAGTTATGTAAAGATCCCCTCCAGTTTCATTAACCTACTAATTAGACAAAGGCTTAGTCTTTACACTAATTAAAAAATTTGTATGTTTCATTTTTTATAATCCTAAAAGCAACTTTACTAACTGTTCTCAAAACTTAGTGAATAATAGCAATTTTCAAGCAAGAGCAGCAAGTGTTAAGTTTAAGGCCAGAGGTAAGTCTAAGGCAGAGTAACAAACAACTTTGACAGGAGCCTGATAAATAAAACACCATCTCAGTCCTATTTGTAACATCACCACCATGACACTCTAAAAGGTATAATAATGAAACAACCTTATTTTCCAGTTCCTATCCATACTATTATGTTTTTGGATCACAGAATATCTGTATTTTTATCCTGCATACTTGAGTTAAAAGATCATTTTAGGCATTCTACTCACTGGAAAAAATAATATAATGAAGAGTCTACAGATTAAACACTACTTAGAAAGTCTTTCTATTTATTTCTCCTTACTCCACACTCTCCAGTCTTGCTTTCAAAATCTGGGCATGATTTACTACTCGAATATAAAGCCCAAAGGGCACAAGAATGCTTTGCATCTTGTGGAGTTACTCAGTACCTTGAACGACTGGAAGCCTGTAAACATCCAAGCTTCTTTGCTATTTTTACATTATGAAGAATTAAAATGAACAGTTTATGTAACATCTTGTCTCCATGGCCATCTCTACCATCTTTTAGTTTTTCATTTAATGGACAGAGTTAGATTTAAAAAAAACTCTTCCAAACAAAAAATAAAAACCTTTCAAGGCTAACACGTTGCCAGCTGTGGATAAATCACAGATTGCTAAACAGTGGTCTACGTAAATAGTAACCTGGTCAAAGAATTAGGCTTCTTACCAGTTTTAAGCTGAAAACGTCATCTGAACTAAAATACATCTGATTGTAATTTGAGGTACAGAACACTATTCCCATGAGATATAACTCAGGCCTGCATCCAACTCCCTTTTCCCTGGACAGGCAACATAAAAGTACTGAGATGCAGACAGGAGAGCCCGCTTTTCAGATCCTGCAAAGTGAAGGCCAAGAACTCTTAAAGACTACAGCTCTGTCTCTGGGTTTCCTAAAAATCACTTCTGCCATTTAATTGCATTCTTCCAAGGGTTTTTTATATTTTCATATTAAAAAACAATTTGACATTAAAACATCTAGAAATTAAGAGTTGTATCAGAACTCTTGTTAAAACTTTTCCAAGTATATTTCTTTGTAATAAAGAGTTGTAGCAATACAAGAAAAAAAGTTGTAGCAGTACAATTCACAAAATGGAATTTAAAAAATAGGAGTAAAATGTATAAAATCAGAATTGAACAGATTTGGGTTTAAAGAAACATAATTAGACCTCCCTCCTTGAGTATTTAAATGGAGTTTGTCTGTTTTTTAGTGGAATTCCAATTACATCTATGGCCAGCATAGTTACAGGAATCCAGCTTCCTAAACTTGAATTACAACTAGATAAGCCACAGACCACGCTATTGCAGCATGCTGCAATTTTGTACAGGAATAAACTCCACTAAAACAAACAGATTTTCTTATATGTCACTGGGATTCACAACAAAGTCACTCTGTGGCTTCCTTAGAACCACAGCCTTCAGGCTCTTGCAGCTGCCACTGCTTTTGGTCCAGACAGATATGTACAAAGGAATTGTCTAAATTATTTATTCCTGCCCACTCTAACAATTAACTGTTAGCCAACGTAAGTATGAAAATAAGCACACTGGTATCACTGGTCTAAAAGAGTTTGTATTTCACTAGTAAAAAGTTCTATTCCCACTAACAAGACGGTTAAGAGGCCCCTCAGAAGATATTCTATACCCACCTACACACCTCAGTCTACTTATGAGAGTTTTGGGAACCTTTTTACCCTCAAAACCCAAACATACCTTAAAACAACTATGAGGAAAATATCTGTAATCAAAGGATCAGACAGTTAATCTACAGAAATTCCAGTAGCCTAGGAAACTTAGGTTGCATTTATATATGAAATGAAATGACTACGTATGCACCTATCTTTGTGAAAGAATGTTGTAGATGCAAGGACATATGATAATTAGACCATGCAGTCAAAGAAAGGGAAAGGCAGCAATATTGTACTATTAAACTTATTAAGTATTAAAGGTTAAAAGGTTAAAGCTGCTAGTATGTCTGATAGCTATGAGACATACTAGCAGCACACAGTATTCCTTTGGCGTGCACTGAGACACTGAGTATACCAGATGCTACTGCTTCATTATATGCCACTATTTTCTGCTGCTCAAACTGTCATGAGCCTCTTTTCTGTGCCAGGAGGAAGGTACCATTGTACCACAACACAGAGAGCAAGGTTGAACTAATACAGACACCAGGAAAACAGGATGACAGACTGAATTATTTATATGCATGTTTGTATGTATGCACACGCAAAACACAATGATACTTTTCTTATGTACTGTAAGCAGTCCTTCTGTTTAAATACAGTCCTTTGGTGGCGAAAAACATTCTCCTTGTGGAAGAAAGAGAAACCAAAAATAAGAAAATACATTTGTGTATTGCAGATACATGTCTATGGGAGACACAGTAGCTTGTTCGTAACTTAAGAGCTTTTAAAATTGAATATTAAAATGCACATGACAGCAGCAAAGTCATGAGAGAATATCATATTCATCTCACTTGCACAATATTCAGGAATTCTTTGATGCACTTCTTAAAATATGTCAGGGTACTGTGCATATAGGATAGTTTTTTACACACAAGTCTTTTTTTTCATAGACCCTAGCATTACCAGAAGGCTTTGGTGGGTTTACGCACAAGCAATTTCTTTGCAAGTCATCTCTCTCATTTTTATCACATGCAGATCCAAAAGGTTTCTTCTGACCTGCACTAAGCTCATACAGCACTAGTTATAGCAGATGTGAGCACAACAAATTAAGGGTGTCAAACATGTCAGCAGCACAGAATCAGAGTGTGTTGAAGGACTTCATGAAGCCAGAACAACTCTGGCTTTGGTGAAAGTAATTTTGTATAAGGTGTTCTGTCCAAACTGAGAAGTCTTGCCATCATTTGCTCCAATGAAATAATGTGCTCACACCGAATTCATCTGGATTACACACATGTAATGTTTGCACAATGAGGATCAAGATTTTTTTTTTAAGCCAGTGAATATTTCCTTAAAGCCAAGCCTGAAATCTGTGACTGAAGGTACATTTAGACAAATCCAGATCGAGATGAAAACAAACAGCTTTGCAATTTTAAATTCATTATGTAATGTTGGCATAAGAACATATAGAGATAATAAAAATTAGGACTGTTCTCAAACCTACTACCCACTAAAATGCATTTATTTGCTCTCTCTTTGTTCTAGTTCTTCCTTTTTCCTCACCACCATCATTTACAGAATGGGTTACATAAAAATAACTTTATTGCATGAGTGACAGGATTTTGAACCACGGTATTCTGAGCTGATTTTAAAATGTCATTTGGTAATAATGTAAAATCATTAAATTGCAAGTGTGTACCAAAAGCTTTAACTTTCAGAAACACATATACAACAGTCTGCTGCCATTTAAGACAAATTATATTCTGCCAACATGAAAGGAACACGTCATTTAATCCAAAATTATTTTATAGCAAGCTTTTACACAAAAATGCAATCATGATGGCATCACACTCTCATCCATCTAAAGGGTTGAATTTTTCAGGCACACAGAAAGTTTGACAGTTACATAGCGACAGTCCTGATAAATACGGTGATTCAGTAAAGCCCTACAGAAATAATATAACTTAAAGTATGGTTGCAGTTCCAGTAAAAGAGTGCAACTGCTGAGGTGCCAAAAGAATTTGCTCTGTTAAACAACAGACATAACCAAGTCAGATCTTTTGGACCTGGTTAAGTTTCCTGTCTTCTGTACACAGAGAACTTCCAGCCACACACTTGGGCAGAAGAGACTTCCCTCAGCTCTGCTCTGCCATCAGTCTCATCTGCTGCAGTCTAGCAGAAATATCAGGGCTTGGAAGGTGTCAAGATGCAACACAGGGCAATTCTTGGGATGGAGAATGAACCACTTGGTAACTGCTCCAGGCAGAAGAACTTACACAAGACTTGCAGGTGCCCTTGCAATCAAAAGAGACTGAAAGACTTTTGCCTTCTAGCTTCTGAAGTGCGTGGAGCACAGATTGTGTGCAGTCCATGTCCCACCCACTGTGAGACAAGGCAATGAAATCCTCTCCCTTCAGAACAGGAACCAGAAGGAACCTTCTGGGAAAGTTAGAGCAAAAGCT